TAAACCCTAAAGCCTCAATCCTAAACGCTGCAAGCCACGCTGCAGGACTTCACGGAAGCCTTGATGAAGGACTTTGAGCGAAGAGCCGTATTTTGTTGCGGGGGTTTTGGGCCAGTGTTGGGGCTCTCCCGGAATCTGCGTAGTCAAAACGTATCTGCCCTAAATCCTCAAACCCCTAAACCCTAAACCCCTAAACCTAAAACATAGCACTCCCAGAGTATGGAGTGAGGAGTGTGGTCTCACCGAAGACGAAGCTGCTCTGGAGTGGAACCGACGGAAGAACAAGCCGACGGACACCAGCCAAAGTATTCTTGTTTTTTTTTTCTGGTTGGCTCTTAGGACTTTAATTTTTTGGGTTTCTATATGAATTACAATAAGTAGGCTAAAAGTTTAACTTTTAGGAGGGGTTCAGAAGTCAACCAAGTATTATGGCTCTGGGTTTAGAGCTTAGTCTTCAGGGATTGGGGGGGTAGGCATTCAGTGTTTTTGGTTTCAGGGTCTTGCCCTTGCTGGCATATGGACTGGTGCGTCCAAGTCTTTTTTGTTTGAGCCCTTACTGTAGCCTTATTCTATGAGGTGTGTGCTGTTTGGGGGATCCTGGAGGGGACCTAAATTCGGAGAACAAGAACGGGTGGCTCCAACACACTGTATATGGGTAGTTATCTACATTAGGGTCCCTTTCTGGGGCCCAAAAATAAGTCTGAAAATTCAATGTCTCTATTACCTTCGGTAATGAGGAAGCAACCACCCTAAACCCTAAAACCCCTAAACCCTAAACCCTAACCCTAAGGGTCCAAGACCCAAATAATCAAATGCCATGCCCTCTCAAAGACTCAACTCTCAAAGCTACTCTCCGAAACCCAGCTACGGTTTTAAGAAAGTCTTTTGGGAGCCACAAAGCATCTCAGACTCGTTACCCCAAACCCCCATCCCAGAGTTTAGGGTTTTGGGTTTAGGGTAGCCCTAAACCCCTAAACCCTAAACCGCTAACCCCTAAACCCGAAGCCCTAATCCTTACAGGGACCCTACTTTCGCGTTTCGGGCTCTTTCGGCATGGGGCCACTATGGGGCTACACTCTGAACCCTAAAGCCCTTGCAGGGCCTGGGTTGGGTGTACCCTACTTTAATGGGTTCAGGGTTCAGGGTTTAGGGTTTAGGGTTTAGGGTTCAGGGTTTAGGGTTGATGATATAAATCCTGCTATCATCAACAGTACTTTAATCCTTTTGGTGGACCTGTCTCTGAAAGGAGCCATTATGAAAGACAAGTGTTTGCTTTTCTCTCCCCGGTTACCTCACAGTCTAGAGAACCCTCTTGATGAAACCCCCTAAACCCTAAACCCTTTTAAGGAACCCGTCAAAGGAACCCTGATGGAAAGAATCCTAAGTCCGAAACGTCGGGTCCTGAATCCAGGAGTTCGACCACGAGCAGGACCTTTGCGATCGCTGGTGGGTTTAGGGTTCCGGGGTGTTGGGGATTAGGGGTTGAGGGGTTTAGAGATGAGGGGTTTAGGGTTGAGGGGTTTAGGGTTCCGGGGTTCCGGGGTTTAGGGTTTAGGGTTCCGGGGTTTAGGGTTTAGGGGTTTAGGGGTTTACGGGGTATGGGTTTACGGGTTTAGGGTACTCCGGTTGCTCATGTCATGCGTTGGCCCCTAGCGCAAATCATGGCTGCAGTGGTACCTAAACCCAAAACCCTAACAACCCTAAACCCTATGAACCCTAAACCCTATAAACCCTAAACTCTATGAACTAAACCAACCCTCGACCTTAAGCTCCGAAACCTAACAGTCGGCGGCTAAACTCCAGGGACCATTTCGCTGTCGTTTAGGGTTTAGGGTTTAGGGTTTTTTAGGGTTTCGGGCTTTTAGGGTTGAGGGTTCTAGGTTTAGGGCTTATAGGGCTTTCAGGGTTTAGGGTTCAAGGTTTAGGGTTCAATTTCTAGGGTTTAGGAGTTTGGGGTGAGGGGCCTGAAGAAGATATGATACTGTTGATGATAGAAATCCTGCGTTACCTTAAGAACCCGAAACTCTGGCATTCATGGTATATTCCTCAATATGGGTAATGCAGGATTTGTTCATGAGCTGTAGTGGCCTTGATTTCTATCGAAATTTGTTTAAAGCCATCAATGCCGACCTACTTATTTTGGCATCTGTCAATTCCCTGACACTGACTCCTTGTCCTCGACACCACCCTGGCAAAAGTCGCAGACAGCTTGTGCAAAAAGCCGCAAAACTCCAATCAAGCCCTTACCCTTAGGATCCATGTACATAAATAGTAGACATACATTGACCCCTAAAGTAGGGACTACATTAAGACCAACGTAGAAACCATGGAACCACAGGACCCTTAGGATGATAACTTACACCCTCAGAGAACCCTTTTTGAACCTTGGAAGCACCAACCCTAAACCCTAAACCCTAAAAGAACCCTAAACCCTAAACCCTAAACCGATGCCCAACTCGAGGACCCAGAGGGGCGGCTCATGATCGAACTCGACATCAAGCTCTTCAAGGTTCGGGCCCGGTTCTTGGTTCGAAGCCATACACCCGAAGCCCTAAACGCTATCTGCTCTAGAGCTTCAGCCCGTATAAACTCTATAAACTCCCGAAGCCCGAAACCCTATAGGCAGTATAGCATATAGTCGTGTATAGTATAGTATAGTATAGTATAGTATAGTATAGTATAGTATAGTATAGTATAGTATGGTATAGTATAGTGTAGTATAGTGTAGTATAGTGTAGTATAGTATAGTAGAATGAAGTGTAGTAGCTTCCAAAAGCTTCAGCCCCAAACTTGCAAAGCTCTACACCCCGGCTGCTCTAAAGCTTTAGAAGAACAGCCGGAAGCCATCCAAAGCAAATACTTAGGGGCTGAGTAGATAACCTTTAACCTTTTGGGCCTTGTATAATCCTACTATAACTGAAAAGGTTAACCTTTTTTGGGCTAGGGTACTCAGCCCCTAAGAATAAGTGTCGTTTGCCGTCCGCGGGCGCTCAGACGCAGGCGCATTTGGCTGAGACGAAGAAGAAGGAGCAGGAGCAAGCCAAGAGGACAGGGCGGTTGGGGGTTTGGGGTTCAGGGCGTAGTTGGGGGGCGGGGGCCGAATATAGATAGTAGGCACTTAGACAGATAGATAATAGATACATACAGAGACGACCAGATAGATAGATTTAGATGTTAGATAGACAGATAGACAGGTACATGGAAACTCGCTAGACCATGATGAAATTATTTATTTCGACCTCCATATATTGCCGTTGAGGCTTCGGTTCAATTGCTCCAAATTGGTACTTCTGCGCCGACCCCTTTCTTTTTCCCTGAGCCTTATAAGCCGTAAGCCCTCTAGGGCAGTTGTCTAAATTAGGGTCTTTTTAAGGATCCTGTTTATGAGGGTGCCGCATTATTTGGGGGACCGAAGAGCGACCCGAATTTAGAGCACTATCCTCTAACTTGTTCGAAAAGCCCACCCGAAAGCCCGTCCGAGTGTCGGGTTGCCTTCTTGGGACCGGGAATTCTGTCAGACAGAGTAAACGCTATAAATCCCAAGCCCTACAAATAGATCTTCTCGACCTAAGACAAAAGCCTATAACCTCTGACATGCTTATTATGCCTGCCATAGTTCGTAGGCTTCCGGTAATGCCACGCCCGAGACCTCGATTCGTCGATGCTGGAACCCTAAACCCAAAACCCTAAAACCTTAGGGTAATATCAGGCTCCAAGCTGCCAGGGATGAGATCCAGAATGCGTCACCTGGGTGCGTTTAAGGTTTAGGGCTTAGGGTTTAGGGCTTAAGGTTTAGGGTTTAGGGTTTAGGGTTTAAGGTTTAGGGCTTATGACCCTAAACCCTAAATCCTAAACCCGAGACCCTAAACCGTAAACCCAAATTGGGGTTTCTTGAGTTCGTGGGTCGGGGCGAGCTTGTAAAAAGGAACCGAAATTTTCAACGGCGGCTTGTGGAAAGTCGGTATCGCGGGGGAAGGGGGGGGTCCTTCCTTACGGACTAAAAGACCTTTAAAAGTAAGGGTCCTATGCCGTTATACTATGAACCCCTGTATGGTCTATGAACCCTAAATTCTTTCAGGGCCCATTCCGTCTTTAAGGTTTGTTTGGGGCCCGCATTATACCGCATGTTCTGGAGACGTTGTGTTGTTTGTGTACGGTGTTGTCTCGAACTGTCCCCAGACCCCGAACCCTAAATTCTAAACCCTAAACTAAAGCCTACTCCAGGCGCCTTCATAACTACATATATTATTTTGGGGGTTCCTTAGTATAGTTATAGTAGGATATACCCCAAAACCCTATTCTAATTATTACGGACCCTAGATTAGAGTTTATAAGTCCTAAACCAGTCAACCGTGGTGCAGGATGTCACTGGCTGTGGGCTTCAAGTAGTTCGGGCTTAGGACATTTCGGCTTTTGTCAGACCTCATGTTGGTAATTTTAGGGGTTTGGGGCTTTGGATTTCATGGTTTTGAGCCTGTTTTAGGGGTTTAAGGGTTCAGGGTGTAGCGGGCTTCAGGAGCTTCGGGTTTAGGTACTTGGAGGATCTTGGGACTTAGTAAGCAGGGATATAAGTCATGAGCAGTTTTAAGTTTTAAGTCTAGTTACTCTATTTATACCCTCAGCCACTAAGTCCCATGATCCTTTAAGTAGGTTTTAGAGCTTGGTCTTCGCCTCAATTACCACTTTCCGACTTCTGGTATGTTGTAAACCGTCCTGCACGGCACGTTTGTAAGAAGCACTGAGAACTATAGGCAAACCCTACCAAGATTTTCCAGCAAGGGTTTCCGACCTTGCCCCTCTCTGCTAGGGTTTTTGGGTCCTGCGGGTCTGCGATTTGGCCTACCGAAACCCTTATTATTGTGAAAGGGGGTTAGGGTTTAGGGTTTAGGGTTTAGGGTCTACAAACAGACGTTCAACGAGCTCGGCCCTCTATAGGGTGGGAAAGACCAAAGACTCAGAGCCCCGCTACCGAAACATCAAAAATCACATGAAATGACAAATGCCAAGCCGTTTAGGCTTTAGGGTTTAGGGTTCTGGGTTTAGGGTTTAGGGTTTAGGGTTGATGATAGAAATCCTGCATTGCCTTGAGAACCCTAAACTATGGGAATTGTGTATATTCCTTATTATCTGTGTTATGCAGGGTTTAGATCATCAACCGTACGACACACCACTCTGCGTCACCCATGCAGGATTGCTAGGTTCCTTGGCCGCTTGGGGCGAATCCCAAGCAATAGATCGGAATTTGGGCGGAAAGTTTTATGGGTTTAGGGTGTGCTAGAGAGAGGGCTTAGAGTTTAGGGCTTACTAGATACAGGGCTCAGAGTTTAGGGTTTACTAGATAGAGGAGTGTCAACAAGGAGCAGCGGATGTAGTGCATTTTCCCTATGATGCTGAACATTGCTGAATAAGTAGAACATGCGCCATCGCGGTTCCAGCTAGTTGGGATTGGGCGTTCGTGGGTATTCCGCCAAAAAAAACAGCTGCCTGGCGAAAGGGTTCAAGGGTTTCGGGTTTAGGGCTTTAGGGTTGTAGGGTTTTAGGGTTTAGGGTTTTAGGGGTTTGGGATTTTAGGGTTTAGGGTTTAGGGGTTCGCAAGGCTACTCTGGGCGGGTTGTTTTAATCTCGAATTATGCAGTCCTCAATTCCCAACGGCCTGTGTCGAACCGAGCAACCGAAAGTCGCAGGAAGCCCTAAACACTAAACGGCGATAACCCACTGTCCTCGGTGATGCACTGTGAGCCAGCTTAGTTTCTTGTCCTTCCTGATACTGCTATTAAAACAGTCTCGGTTATAGTGTGTGCCCCATTTGAGGGTGGGCAGTCAAAAAGGTCCGTCACACTGAAAACACAACTCTAGACCGATAATCGCCGATTGCGATCGTTTCCGCCGTTTTAGTCGTTCAGGTCATGCTCCGGACACATCGACAAGCTCGAGAAGGTCCCTCTCTTTGCAGTCACGGTTTAGGGTTTAGGGTTTAGGTTTCCTGGATCTGATGTAAAGTATTCAACGGCCTTAAATGTCACGGAAGTTGAGGGAATTCTAGGAATCGGGGCCCCAAAAAGCACATAAGCAAAACATAGGATAGGGATATCCCATATAAACCCCCTTGTACTGAAGCCCAATAAGGTAGGGATATCCCTATAACATGCTTATGCTTATGTCGTTTTGGGGTTCCTAGAGGAAAAGAATCTCCCCAACCCGACAGCTGCGTCCTAAAGTTTAGGGTTTAGGGTTTAGGGTTTAGGGTTTAGGGGTTTAGGGTTTAGGGTTTAGGGTTTAGGGTTTAGGGTTTAGGAACATGTACATCCCAGAGCTGCTGCCGCAGGCGATTCAGGTAGCAGAGGTCGACACCAGCATGACAGATGAGGCAACCGGGCTACCCTAAACCCTAAACCCCAAACCCTAAACCCTAACTAAACCATAAACCCCTAAACCCTAAACCCTAAACCGTAACCCCCTAAACCCGAAACCCTAAACCCTAAATCCTAAACCCTAAACCCTAAACCCCGGGGCCCTCGGGCTCCGTTCTATAATCTTGGCTTTCTTCTGGTGGGCTCTTAGGGTTTAGGGTTTAGGGTTTGGGACTTCCACATTTTGGGGTTTCTATCTGGACTACAAACAAGTAGGCTAAAAAGGCTTCACTGTCAGGAGGGGGTCAGAAGGCAGCCAAGTAATGATGCTAGAATACATCCCCCCAAAAAAAAGGCCTAAACCCTAAACCCAAAAGCCCTAGTCTAATTCCAGTCCCCTAAACCCTAAACCCTAAACCCTAAACCCTAAACCCTAAACCGTTTAGGGATTTTGGATTTGGGGCTTCTGAGTCCGGGATGGAGGGCTGGGAGGTCTGCAGCTAGTATACTGACGGGTTTAGGATTTAGGATTTTAGGGTTTAGGGTTTAGGGTTTAGGGTTTAGGATTTAGGATTTTAGGGTGTAGGGTTTGGGGTTTGGGTTAGGGCTTCAGGGCTTACAGGGTTTAGGGGTTTAGGGTTTTAGGGCTTTAGGGTTTTAGGGTCTAGGGTTTTCCTGCTGATATCGTAAGTTTAGAGTTCAAGGAGGCGGTAAGATTGCATAAAGATTCCTTACGCTTGATATAGCAGCTTTAGAGTCCAAGGAGGCATTAAGTAAGAGCCATGTGTACGCAGATGCTGGCTCCCTGCGTCGTGTCTTGCCGGTAAAATTAGCCCTAAACCCTAAACCCC